GGATTACGACGGGATTCCGGACCTCCCCGTGGACTGCATGGACGGCACCTGCGTCTCCAGCGACCCGCTGGGCGCCGCCCCGTTCCTGCTCTACGGGGCGGTCTTCCTGCTGGGCGTGCCGGGCAATGCCGTGGTGGCCTGGGTGTCCGGGAAAGAGGCCCGCCACCGGGTCGGTGCCAGCTGGTTCCTCCACCTGGCCGTGGCGGATCTGCTCTGCTGTTTGTCGCTCCCCATGCTGGCGGTGCCCCTCGCCCGCGGGGGCCACTGGCCGTACGGGGCGGTGGGCTGTCGGGCCCTGTCCTCGGCCATCCTGCTGTCTATGTACGCCAGCGTGCTCCTCCTGGCCGCTCTCAGCGCGGACCTCTGCCTGCTGGCCCTCAGGCCCGGCTGGGGGGCCGCCGCGGGGCGGGCTCGTAGGGTGCAGGCAGCCCGCGCGGTCGCCTGGACGGTGGCCCTGTTGCTCACCGTGCCTTCGGCCATCTATCGCCGGCTGCACCAGGAGCATTTCCCTCAACGCCTGGAATGTGTACTGGACTATGGTGGGTCCGCCGCGGTCGAGAACACCGTGACCGCCACCCGCTTCGTCTTCGGCTTCCTGGGCCCCCTGGCGGTCGTGGCCGGCTGCCACGGTGCCCTCCTGTGCCGCGCGGCCCGACGCCGCTGGCCACTGGGCACGGCTGTCGTGGTGGGCTTCTTTGTGTGCTGGGCCCCCTACCACGTGCTGGGGCTGGTGCTCGCCGTGGCCGCCCCGCACTCCGCGCTCCTGGCCCGGGCCCTGCGGGCCGAACCCCTGGTCACCGGCCTGGCTCTGGCTCACAGCTGCCTCAACCCCATGCTCTTCCTGTATTTCGGGAGGACGCAACTGCGCAGGTCACTGCCGGCCGCGTGTCACTGGGCCCTGAAGGAGTCGCAGAGCAAGGATGAAAGCGTGGTCAGCAAGAAATCCACCAGCCGCGACCTCGTGTCGGAGATGGAGGTGTAGGCTAGAAGGAAACTGGTTTGTGTTCTAATGTCCGATTTCGCAAAACTGGCTTCAGGCACGGCTGGATCCAGGGGCTCAATGATATCATCACTGATTTCTCTATCCATTCAACATCCATTCGTTATGCACCTGCTGTGTGTAAGGCCCTATTATAGGCACTGAGGAAGTGGCAGTGACCAAAACAGACACAGACCCCTCCCCTCGGGGAGCTGGCATTCTAGTGGACGAAGACTGACAGAAAGCAAGACGATATTCTCGTGGACGAAGACCGACAGAAAGCAATGGAAAAGTGAATATGGAATACATCAAGTGGTGATAAGTGTTAAGAAATCTAAAGGGGACGAAAAGGGCTGAGTGAGGCAGGGATATAGATCAGTCAGGCAAGGCTCATCGGGTAAGGTGATATTTTAGCCAAGACCCGAGGAAGGGAGGGAGAGGTCATGCTTAAAGTATGTTAAACACGGGGCTCAGCAAGTACAAAGGCCCTGAGGCACAATGTGCTTGGCATATTCCAGGAAGAGTGAAAGGGCCAGTGTGGAGGGAGCAAGAGGGAAAGCGGGGTGAGAAAGGGAGAGAGATGGTGGGGGGCCAGATTTGAAAGCCTCTCAGGCCATAGCAAGTGTCTGGAGATCCATGGGGGTGTTCTGAGCTACTCTTATCAGTTAAAATACACAAGACCCAGTAAATTTGAGTTTCAGGTAAATAACAAGGAAAAGGTTTAAAAATTTTTTTATTTTAATATTTTATTTATTCTTGAGAGAGAGAGAGAGAGAGAGAGAGAGAATGAGTGAAGGAGGGGCAGAGCAAGAGAGGGACACAGAATCCAAAGCAGGCTCCAAGCTCTGAGCTGTCAGCACAGAGCCCGACATGGGGCTCGAACTCACAAGCCATGAGATCATGACCTGAGCCGAAACCAAGAGCCAGATCCTCGACCGACTGGGCCACCTAGGCATCCCTGTAATTTTTTTTTTTTTTTCTAATCTACATCAGGTGACCCTTTTCTGAGCCCAAAGAGGTCTTGATCTGACTTAGATTTTAATAGGGTCCTTCTAGTTGCTGGTGGAGATGAGTCTATGGGGGTGGGGGGAAGGGACACGAGGAGCCATTGCAACAGCAAAGAGACTACTGCAATAGTCTGAGCAAAAAGTGATGGTGACTCGAGTCAGGGTAAGAGCAGAGGTAGTGAGAAGGTGACAGATTACAGGTGTATTTTGAAGGAAAGCCTACGTCCTCGCTCCTTAGCTTGGTATTTGAGGCTTCTCTCCACTACTGGACACGTTTATATTCTAGTATATTCTTGTAGCAGACAGAATAATGGCCCCTAATGAGGTCCACATCCTAATCCCCTGAGCCTGTGACTATGTGACCTACCGTGGCAAAGGGAACTTTGCAGATGTGATTAAGGATCTTGGGGGTGGGGAGACTATCTTAGATGATCTGCATGGGCCCAAGGGAATCACAAGGGTCCTTATCAGTCAGAGTCAGTGGCAGATGTAACAACAGAAGCAGATGTGAGCGACTGGAGACAGAATGCGGCCCCAGAAGGGGCTTACCGACACCTTGATTTGAGACTTCCGACCCCCAAAACTTACAGAATAAATTTGCATTGTTTTAAGTCACTACATTTGTGGTTACTTCTTAATTGGCAGCCACAGGAAACTCACACGGATCCTCTGAGCTGGATTAATTCATGCTTCTGGGCCGTTTCCCCAAGCTGCTGCCGTTGCCCAGAATGCCCTTTGGATCTGTGCTGCCCAATCTTACTCAAATTCAAATGAATTCAAATGCAACATTTAGTTTCTCAGTTGCATTAGCTTCGATAGCCACGTATCGCTGGTGGCTACCATATCGGGTCGTGCAGATATACAACCCTTCCACCACTGCAGAAAGTTCTATCGGGAAGGGCCCCTGGAGAATCTCGCCTGCTCACATCTTTTAAGTCACATAGTAGTGGCACCTGGATATAGAGTCTTTACTCCAGGACAGCATCTTACACATAGTTTCTCCTTTTTTTTTAATTTATTTTTCAACGTTTATTTATTTTTGGGACAGAGAGAGACAGAGCATGAACGGGGGAGGGGCAGAGAGAGAGGGAGACACAGAATCGGAAACAGGCTCCAGGCTCTGAGCCATCAGCCCAGAGCCTGACGCGGGGCTCGAACTCACGGACCGCGAGATCATGACCTGGCTGAAGTCGGACGCTTAACCGACTGCGCCACCCAGGCGCCCCCATAGTTTCTCCTTTAGGGTAATTCCATCAACAACACAGGGAAGGAACGAGAGATGCTTCATTTTATAAGATGAGGCTCAGGGAGCGGAGGTCGTTTGCCCAGCGTCACACGGCAAGGAAATTACAGAGCTGAGATTTGACCCCACGTTCCCTTGACTCCAGTGCCCATGCTCAGAAATTTTCCTTCAAATGACACTCTCTCTGGGGAACCCTCTCTGATCCATTCCCCTCCAAAGGAGGGCGTAGTGTTCTCTTCTCTGACTTGAGTTTCTAGAACACAAGTTCTCAGGTAAAGCGTCAATCCCCCACAGGCAACCAGTGCACTATTTTTATTCCTGTCTCTCCTCCCCCCATCCCAGGTCTTAGAAACATCAAAACAATCTTTGTCTACACCCTGTTTTCCAACTAGACCGTGGGCTCCTCAATGCGATGAGGTTCTCTTTCTTGCTATCTTTTTTCTCTATCTGCTACAGGGATACATAGTAGGTCCTCAGCAGTACATATTTTATTCCTGGCGTTTCATTCAGAGTTGACATGCATGAGTTATTACGACCAATATTCCCTCGTAGAATTAATTATGCCCTGAGACAATTTATAGAGCGTCATGAAAAGTCAGGGGAAACCCTGCTGTCAGTCCACTGGGGCCAGGTGCCATTTAGGAGAGCTTTTCTTTGGTATGTTTATCAAAAGACGTTAGTGGCTTTTGAAATTTATTGTCATTTATCACTGCATCAGCCTTACTTGTTTTTGAAAGAAGAATAAACTTCATGTAAGCCTTCAAAGGTATTTCTGTGAAACCGGGTCGTTAAAAGTAATCTTGCTTTTTGTTTGTTGTAACTTCCCCTTTTGTCTTCTTAATTTTGTTCGTTCTTGGAACGTGTTGATTTCCTTGTTTCTGATGAGCTGGGTCCCAATAGAACTAGTTTCAAGTTTTTTACTCATTCCTCATGTTGGTAGTTTGTGACTTACATCTTGACTTTGTATTTTTGCTCCCTCCCGTTTTTCTTTACAAATAAATTGTTCGCTTTTGCAAATTTCAAGAAGTGCTTAGTCAGTTTCTTCCCCTTCTTTTGACAATGACAGATGAACGGGCCTCTCTGTGTTCACATTGTTTTCCGAAGGTTTGTATTTGTAATGACATCCACCTTGGTGTCCAACCCGTAACTGACTAATTCACTCACAGTGAAACTCTGGGGTTTTCTCTCTGAGCCCTCCCCTCCTATTTTCCTGATCTCAGTTGATGGCAACTCCGTATTTGCAGGCACTCAAGCCAAAAACGTTGGAGTCATCCTTGACGCCTTGCTCTACCTTAAGATATCCACAGAACGCGATTACTTCTTGCCACCTTCTCTGCCATCATCCTGGTCCGCAATCTCTCCCTTGATTGTATCAGTGGCCTGCCCGGTCCTCTTTCCTCATCTGGGTACCCTGTAGTCTGTTTCTCACACACTGAGCCAGAGGATTCAATTAAAATCTAAGTCAGATCATGCCTCAGGTCCCTCCTCTGCTCAAACTCCTCCCATGGCTCCCATCTCACTCCGATGAGAAGCCAAAATCCTCACCAGAGTGTATCTGATCTATCTGCCTTCTTTCCTCACCTCATTCCCTGCTGTTTCCCCCTCCACACAGGCCTGCTTGCTGACCTTGGAACGACCAGTTTTGTTGCCATGGAAGTCTCTGCGGTTTCTATTTCCTTTACCTCCAGGGGGCTCCGTGGCTTGCTGCCTCACATATTTCGACTCTCTGCTCAAATGCTGCTTCCTTGGAGCTGTCCTCTTTGATCATGCTACTTAAAATGATAACACTCCTTGCTCCTTTTCTGCTTTGTTTTTCTCCAAAGAGCGTGACAGTGCTTCTTGGCAATTCTTTTCACTTACGTGTCTGTTTCCCCTACTAAAACCAGAGTTCCGGCGGAGGAGGGACTTGATCTGTCTCGTCTGCTGCTGTATGCTCAGTGCCTAGAACTGGGTCTAGAACTGAAGGCCGTAGCTTCTCAATGGCAGTATCATCTTAAGGAAAAAGGGGAATGGCAGGAGAATACAATAAAAATGAAAGCTCTAACATTTATTGAATGCCTACTATGTACAGTAGGAAAAAAACCCAATGTATTACCTTATGTATACACTTTCGCTTACTTTCCCCAACGGTCTTGAAAAGGAGATATTATCCTCATGTTATAAATAGGGAAACTGAGGCTCAGACCCGCAATGACTGGGGCATCTAGGACTAGAAAGGACTCTATTTTCTCATTCATTCAACAAACATTTACCGACTCTCTGATCCTTGTGGTGGACGCTGGAGGACATGGGACCTCCACGGCTGGAACGGCCCCTGCCTTCAAGAGGCTGGGGAGTGGAGCTGAATTATTTATTAGTGAACTGCTAGGGTGAATTTTACGTTAACAGAATCTTGCATTAATAATTATGAATCGTAGTGACTAAATCACGGGAGCGGTTTCATGGCGTCTGGGCTCCTGCTAGCATTCTCCCCGGGCGTCGGGGCGTCCCGGGCGCAAGTGACAGTCAGGGGGAGGGTAGCGTGCGCCGGGGATAAGGCGCTTCCGAGTTTCCACCGCAGTGCTGCCCCCCGTCCCTAGAGGGCGCAGCGTCACTCCCGGCTCCACTTGCAGAGAGGCGGAGCCCGCGCGTGCTGTGCGCAGGCGCAGAGTGGGTTTTCGGACGCTCCCGGTGGCGCGCTGGCTCCACGGCCCGCGGCAGGGTGGGGCCGGGCCGCGAGGGGTGGTGGCGTGCGCAGGCGCAGAGCCGGCTTT